CAACTGAATTTTATTTCTCTTTCTTACGATATAAGTATAACATAATTACCTGCAAATGCTATTCATTTTTGTATGCTTACAGTGATACAGAAAAACATTACCAGTACTATATTTACAGATAACATCTGTATAATAAAAAAAGCACCAAAAGTCTAATGGTGAAAAAAGGGTAAATATTGTAGACCAGCATAAGTATCAACCAATTATTCCACGCTCTGTTTCATTGGAGTTGCAATTTTCTTTTATAATATCATGAAATTATAAATAAGATAAAGATTTCAGTACGTTTCAAATAAATTTATATATTTTATGTATGTAATACTGCGCACACATATTAAAAGGTGATAATTATCGCAGTTATAATAAGATACAATCCTGGCAATGTAGCGATGTTTGGATTCTGAAAATAATTTAATTTGATTTATTTTTGAGAAATGCGCACAATATTGAGCAAATTATTTTGTGCCATGTATACCTGTGTTTCCAAACTTCCACACACAGTATCATATTGTCTGCGGTATATGAAAAGCTTCATCGATGAAATAAATGGTTGAATATGATTGAGATATAAGAAAAGTACTTGTAATGTAGTAATATAGTACTTGCAATGAATAACGTTAATGTGAATACATAAATATTTTATATTTTAATTTCATATAATCGAGATAGATAAGACACTCATGATTACTTTAAAAATGTGTCCACAAATATCATGTAACTTCAATAACTGCACATTCGTCAAATTAATCCTATACGTTAAATAAATCACAGCAGCTTGTTTAAATTTATCTAACCTAACCAATTATATTATATGCTCCTCATTAAAATGTGTAAAATGTACGTCGCACATTTAATGCGATTAATATACTACGTAATAAAATGTAATACACTAATGAAATAATTAAATATTATTTTTTGAAAGCATAATACAATCCAGGAGCATACGCTTTTATTTACATTCGATATCCAAAGACACTGAGAGGTTAGGTTAGGTTAGATTAAACAAATTTATCGTTTAACTGTTGGCAGCTCTACGAGATAGGCTGCCCTACGAGATGTGCAGCACTGCGCGCGCGTACAAAATAAATTTGAAATCGCTTCTAGCATAACCATCTTCACGAATCGACTTTATTTGAATTGCACGGCATCGCATCGAATTATGAGCGGCGCCGATTTGCCCGAACGTAATTCGAGACATAGCGATGCTGTATAAGCGTCGAATGAGCACGAATTGTCACGCAAATATGATAAATCAAATCTACTCACCGTTCACCGGCTGTTCCACAGGCCGCTCCACTCGCTCGCTCGGGACGTCCTCATTCCGATCTTGATCGCACACGATATCATCAACGCGAACGCGCGACACTTTATTCGGCACTCCCGATACTCACTCGCATCCGATAATCATCATCAAGGGCGCGAATAACGCGACGCAATTTCGCTCCATCTTCGCAATGACGCCATCACTGAATATCGTCAAAAATCGCTGTCGCGCGTTTCGATTGACACACTATAAAAGTCGCGCGATCATCCTTGGACACTCTCGACGCTCGTTCACTCGCGATATTCGTTTAAAAACGGTTAAAAGATGCGAAAAATGCGGATGTACGACGATCCGTGTAACTGCGTGTGACTCCGATTCACGTATGACGCGTATGACGTAGCAATGACGCGTATGACGTAGTAGTCACGCGCCAACATGGCGGCCGAACCAGTGCGCATTCGTTTCTGCGCATGGCCATTCCTGTGCCCAACGTTCGCGCAATTTTGATTTCTGAATATTGTCTACGGCTTTAATTAATAGCACATAATGATAAATATATAAAGATAGAATCAATTAATCATACTGGTCATATATGTAGACTTACCCGAAGAAACAGAGAAAAAATTGAGAGATATTTTTAATTTCTTTTTCTTTTAGTAAAGGATGGAAATGTCTATTCATAGGCTTGTTC